TGCTATTGTCCTTCTCATTTCATTTGTTCCATGCAAGAACTGATAAGCATCAAACTTATCTAGGAATTTACACCCCCCCCCCCCAATGTATTAGTAGTTGATCCCGATCACGATATCAAACCCCTGACATACTGTTGCAATTTCTATGACAGGAAACTGTGTAAAGAAGTGTATTTATTCTCACATAAAACATTAGAAAGAACCACATACATATAGAATCCAAGACTTTGAACAAAATGTCAGTAGAGCAGCTTTTCAAGTTTATTAAATTAATAGTTTAATCAATGGACGTATAGGAACCTAAGTTTTTGAGTCTTGAAGAGATACAATATGGCCAAAATGAAAAAAAACTTTACTGGTTATACTAAATATTTTCCATTTAATATGCTCATATTCTCGCAAAGAAAACATTGATACCATTTGTGTAAAATTTCTTCAATACTGATAGAGAGACCCATAAGAACACTTGCAGACAAAAAGCTGGTAGAACGCTTGCAATTTTAATTTCTACGGCTCTTTCGGGTTGACATAATACTATTAAGCTTTCTTTAGGGTATTACACACGAAGATTTATTTTATAATTAATTGGAAAAAAATAAACACTAAATTAAACTCTTATAATGAAATAATGATGATACATTCTTTTAATCCAAAAATAATGAAAGAGGGGGCCGGTGAGGAGGCAGGGAAATTGGAATATAGGAAATGAGACCTTTGATTACAAGCGATGTACTTAGAAATAATTATAGGATTTTAGAAATGCGATTTACTTGAGGTCATAATAGCCATATCAACAGGGCTGATACGGATTTACAGGAATGATACGGATCAATATTACAACCCTGTTAAGTTATACTTCAAAAACAGCATTTGTGATTTAATACACATTCTTTTTGTTTGACTGTTTGATTGTAAGGATCACCTAACTGATAAAAGATTGGTTCAAACGGAAAAAAATAGAAACATACCCGAACCGTGTGAGACAATATAAGCTATGCACATATGAGAGTTATATGATTATTTTTTTCTCAAATTGATGTGTAATGTATTTTGTTACTGTAACGTTATTTGCATTAACTATAAACAAGCATATTCTATCAACAGCAAATTCTTCGGCCCTTCAGCTGATATCGGTGTCTCGGGCTGATACAGAATGTGATATAATGAAAAGGATATCCATAATTTTCCATTCATTTCAATTTACCCAATTGTGTTCTTCTCCAGTTCTGCAAGTAACGAAATGGCCTTTTCTTGAGGTTGTTTAAAATGTCGAAAATATTTTTTGAAGTAAATTTTTGAATTTTTTTAAAGTAGATATACGGGGAATAAATCAAAAACTTCGTTATAGGGTGGGGCCACAATGGGGTATCAAAGTTAAACATAGGAATACATAAAAACAATTTCCAAAAAGCTTCTTCTCAAACACGACTAAGCCATAGTTTTATGAAAGCATCCTCTGGTAGTGTAGACTCAAATTTGTTCAAACAAATGAAGCCTGGTTGTAGGTTGGGGCCACAATGGGGTATCAAAGTTTAACATAGGAATACATCAGAAAAATCTTTACAAACTACCCAAGAAGAACAAAGCCATAGTTAAATGTAAGCATCCTCTGATAGTGTAGATTCAAATTATTGAAATCGTGACCCTTGGGGCAAGGGTGGCACCAAATTGGGAGATCAAAGTTTTAAGAAGGATAACATAGAAAAAAATCTTTGAAGTTCTTCTAGAGAACAGCAAAGCTGCAATTGCTTATAATTATATGGAAACATCCTTGCAGTTGGTTAGTATAGATTTTAGTTTGTACAAAACATGACCCCTAGGGTAGAATGGGGCCTCAGGGGTGATCAAGATTTTACATAGGATTCCGAGGAAAATTCTTCACACAACAAAGCCATGATTTAACATCAATGTCACCGGGTTCACAGGCGCGAAAATGTCAGTCAATACATTGGGTCTCAATAGCTCAGTGGTTAGAGCGCTGGCACGGTATGCCAGAGGCCCTGGGTTTGAGTCCCGGTTGAGACTTGATTTTTCACCACATGTGACATTTGGCGCCAAACGTGCAAAACCCACTATTTCCTTGGAACATGCCTCACAGCATCTCCTTATCTCATAGAATTCGAGGACAAATTTCTACATAGAGGGAGAATATGTCACCGGGTTCACAGGTGCGTGAAAGTCAGTCAATACATCGGGTCTTAATAGCTCAGTGATAAGAGCGCTGGCACGGTACGACAGTGGCCCTTGGTTCGAGTCCCGGTTGAGACTTGATTTTTCACCACCTGTGACACCTGTTTAGACATAGAATTCGAGGACAATTTTTTACAAAGAAGGGGAATATGTCACCGGGTTCACAGGTGCGTGAAAGTCAGTCAATATATCGGGTCTAAATACCAGTTGGTTAGAGTTCGCACGGTACGCCCTGGGTTCGAGTCCCGGTTGCGACTTGATTTTTAACCACCTGTGACATCAATATAAAAGCAAAAAAAGGGTATGTAGATTTATTTGTTCAAGTCATGACCAACTAGGAGAATTATGAGAAAAGAGGAGCCAATGTTAATCATCGTTACTAGTATACAAAGGAATGTAAAGGCTTTTCTAATAAAAGTTTTCATCTGATAAACATCAAAGCCGTTATGCATGTTTAAGCTTGTTCAAATACCCCCAACCCACTTTTTACATCTAAGCCTTTCAATACTCAACTGAGTTTTGCTTTCACGTACAGTGCAGGGAAATAATTTTGTTACAGCATCAAAGCTGATTTTGGTGCTTCCTATGCTTGCTGATTTTGATGCTTCCTTTGCTTGCTGATTTTGATGCTAGTTATCCTTATCCTGATCCTGGTTTGATCCTTATCCTGATGCTGGTTTGAAACTAGGTCAATGCTAGTAATGCTACCGGAAGTAAGATTATCCTGCCGGAAGTGGATAATTCAAAAACAGCACCGCTATTTTAAGCTATTAAAAATAATTTTTGGGGTAATTTTTATTTGTAATTTGTATTAAACGACTTTCCTTTATCTGTTTTCACTTTGGTCAATGCTAGTTCTATCCTTTGCTTGCTGATGCTGATCCAAGTAATGCTGTTTTTTTAAATGCTGATGCTGATGCTAGTTCTATCCTGATCCTACTTATGCTGATCCTGATGCTGGTTTATGTAACAAAATTAGTTCCCTGCACTGTAGCTTAGTTGCTCAGTTGATCAATGTGGCCAATGGGACCACAATAAAGTAATATAACATGTATTTCCATTCATGTTTCCAATTGCATGTATCATCATAAAAGATTTTCTTCATAATTTTTTTTCACTATAGTAACTAAACTGAAACCCAATATAAGGTCAGTGAATAGTTTACATAAAAATAATGGACATAATTATTTATCCGTGAAAAAAAATATATATATCTTTTTTTTTCGCAGGAAGTATTTTTTTGTCGCTGAAAATTAACATTAGTATGTCCCTTGTCTCATGACTCATGGTGGATCCTTTTTTTAATAACTGTAAAGAGAATGCTGTATCTAAAATGCAAAAAAGCAACAACAAGAAAAAGAAAGAAAACCTTCATTAATTAATAATGTATCTGGGAATATTCATGTATATATCAAAGATAAATTTATATAAATCTGGAAACACCATTCATTTCCTTATCTACATATTTGGTTATTGAATTTTGAAGTCTTAAAAGCATTTCAATTATGCATCAGTGTCGGGAAAATCTTAAAAGCACAAAGACGTTTGCTACATGTCATGGTTTCTGTTGACATGCTTTCCCAATTCAAGCACTTCCTGTATCAGCCTCCAATTGAGTTGAGTGGAATCGAGGGCGGATCCTTACATAATCTGCTCACATTGTAACGGAAAGGAAAACATTGACCCATGTCTCCAAATGAAACGAATAAAGACCACCATCTACAAAAAGATGTAATGAGATTTCCATTGATAATTTTTTATTTAAAAAAAGAATAAAAGACGTTTACTATCACAAATGCACTCACTAGGGCAAGGCAAAGTGTTGCAAACCTTCTCCATTATGCTATTTGGTACCGTCGCTTTTTCACCCCAAAATGGCTTCTGGACCATTACACAATTTTGTCCTTACTATTTCAATACGGGTAACTGAAAATACTCAGTTCAAGTCATCAATAATTATCATATCGTGCACATAACATGAAGTATGTGAAATTTGTTCGTTGTTCGTTAACTTTGTTGACTTTGAAATTATAAACCATGTTTCATGGTCAAAGTTTTTTAATTAATCAATACACCAAGACTCAAATACTTACCGGTATAGACCTGCAAATGAAGACATGTACTCGAGACATTGACAATTAAAGGAACATGAAAGCACCAACAGCAACACTGATTTTGGATTTATACGGTATCCGAATGACTGGATTTTACGTTTTGCAGTGGGATTCCATCTCGCGAAGTAATATTGAAACCTTTACATCACTACGTTAAAAGAAACGTTCTACCACCATCCAAATCGCCTGAGTTATCATATTAGAGAAACTTACGAAAATTTTTGCTTCTTAACTAAAGGTATTTTTTTTAATTTTCTTGTTAAATATTAATAAAAGTTCAGAACACAGTACGTAGTCTACTGTTCTTTACCATTTCGATACCATTTTATCAGCAAACTATAAAAGCCACGATGCATTATACATGTTTATAGAATTGGACCTATAAATCGTGATTCTCAATCATTTTTTGTTAAAAAAAGACAGTTCCTTAGACTGAATAGAGTTTTTTTTACAGAATAAGATTATGCATTTCTTTTTTTTAAATCGTTCTTTGAGTACGCTTGTTTATTGTCCATTCTTTGAGTATCTTTCACTATATATGAAATTGTAAGTTACTGAAAATAAGCGGGAAATGATTTCAAATAATCATTATAGAATATACTTAAATTCTAAATGCGTATACTAAAGTATGTTGCAAAGAAGGAAAAAAAACCCCTCATTTTTGAAAATCTAATTTTAAGTTTTGAAGCATTAAATTTATGCGTATAGAAGCAAAAGAATCTTACCAACACATTGTTTTAAATTACAGGTCAGGGTTTCCGTGGAGAGGCTCTGACCAACACATGGTTTACCACCATACAGTGGGATTGGATTAGAACAATATCGGATTCTTGCACGTGTCCTAGTTCCATTGTTACAAGAAGAGGAACACTGACTCCAGTCTCCAAACGGAACAAATAACGACCATTGGCCGTTGACTGAAACGATATGATTACATTTGCAAAAAAATGTTCTATCTTGTCTTTAAATTGAAGTTGAATTTTATCATTCCATCTGTTACCCTTGTATAGACCCTAATTAGTTCTTTCCTTACTTGTTTTTTTTTCAAAAGTGTTTTTAGTCAAATAGAATGTTCTAGTGTAAAGTGTCCTACATCCTTCTTTGTACAAAGTTTACGTATATCGCCATTGACCTCAAAATTAGTTTTAACAAACAAAAGAACTTACCAGGACATGGCTGTGAGTTGCATGCTTTCTCCTTTTTATCCTCCTGAGGCCCCTCACAAACACGTCCCCCATTTTCTGGTTTAGGGTTATTGCATTCCCTTGTCCTCAAACTCTGTTGAACTCCTCCTCCACAGGTAACTGTACAGACACTCCATCTGTCATATGGACCCCAAGTTGACCAACCGCCATGAACTACAATGATTATAATGAATGTAATATTAGATTTGTATTATAATGATTGTTATGGACACAATGAATATAACAAGATCTACAATTTTAATTTTTTAACAGACCAATAAAAAGAAAGACATTAAAATGAAAACAAAATTGTGGATGGGAGTAATTAGAAAAAAAGTCAGAATACATAGAAAATATACAACCTATAATAAATAAAAGAAAAGAAAACTCACAAAGCCTATTTTGTGAACGGAGGAGGGGTCATTATCATACTATATAAAACAAAATGGATTTTTTCTTATCTATGAAAAATTAAAAAAAAAATCATTGATTATCACAAAATAACTATCTTGTGCAATACATACCCTTATCATGTTTGCGGCTAAAATTGTAGCATGGTTTATCTGTAATGAAATAAACAGCGTATTTCAAAAAGATAAATTCGCATTTACAATTTAATTGAAAGCAATGTCCTACGAAACAATGGTCGTTTTATGCATATTTGTTAATACTAATGTATAGAAGTGAATATATATTTAAAATTATTTATGAATTTTATAAGATCGTCTATTTGGAAATTGTTCTCTAATAGAAAAAAAAATATTCTGGCAGTTCCCAAATTTTCTGGTGACGTGGATTGTGTGCCACAACAAAATGAATCAATTTCTCACCAGAGGGCGCTCACCTGTTTTTGACGTGTAAAAAGTAGTGCGGATTGTCATATTATTAAATGTCAACAAAAATTGTATAAACATTGATTGCATGCCTTGCGAATGATGTTAAATGTATTTGTTTTAAGCTCTATGGTAGCACATACATGTATAATTTAACTTTGTCTCCTTGGTCTTAAAATGTAAATGTGAGTAAAAATTCAAAACAAAATAGTGCCACATATATTGAAGCTATTTTAATATATTGACTCATATATCAAAATTTTGAAAGAAAAAAAGGAAGTGCTATAGATTGTTATTTCTATTTTCATTTTCCAAGTTGGTGGGAAACTATAATTTATTTTTGTTTTACAATTATAATCTTCTAATTTAGATAAAACAAAGGTGTTAGAGCGAAGCGTAAAAACGCCTTCTGGTAAGAGATTGCAAAATGATATCATTTTTTTTCACTATCATTATTTTTTTGTTCCTCATTCGATTGTTGCATTAATAATGTACTCCGGATAATGTTGTTTTCGGAAATGTGAATTAAACAAAACGAAATATTCCATTCAGCATGGCATTTGCACAATCATGGGCAGATATATGATTTGTGATTAGAGGTGGTTAGGGATGCTTTGGTGAAGCCCCCGGAATCTCCTTGGATTTCGTGAAATATAAGCGTAAAATCGGACAAAATGAAAATTTTATCATTTTGTTATTACTAGTTTGGGTGTTCCAGCGATTCAAAGTTTGAAATTCTCAATATGCATTGGTGTCAATACTTGTCAAGCAAAGTACTTATTGTGTTTAAAAAACGGCACAATGGCCTCGTTTATAAACCCTACTAGAAAACTAAATAAATGATAATTGATCAATTGATAGTAAGTTAGATTTGATTTGTTGCGTTTGGATGAAAATGAGCACAGAAAATGTTAAGGAATTCTTTTTTTTTTGTAATGCAAGGGACTTTGTAGTATCAGTATTAAGGTCCCTGGTTGGTGCAAGGAATTGTCTACAAAATAGAGCAAGCGTTTATGTACGATTATGATCTGTTTCTGTATTATAAAATATCTATGAAATGGAAACGTTACTTTAAATAAGATAACATGCATTTTAAAAGTCGCACACACACCATATACTAAGTGTTCATAATCGCAGGGGTGATAAGGAAGCATACAAAATATTCTACCTTGACAAAATCAGTGCTACATTATGACGTCATAGTAGGCGAGATGACGTCAATTGTATAACAAAACTTTTCGTTGAATTGGTATTTAGAGATGTAATTTAACTCTAGAAAATGAATAGAAACATGTAAACATTGACAAAAATAAAATGTTTTTATTTTGTTATGATGCATCTGTCATTTTGATTAAAAACTAACCCCGATGACGTCATATGTGTACCTCAAGTAACTTGGGAATCGATCGTGTCGTGTAAAGAGAATTTGGCTAAGACGACATGTACAAAGATATGTAAAATGGAGTTTAAAAGGAAATATCGTGAACATTATGTGAAATTCATATGGAGTTCAGTTAAATAAACAGGTATGCTAATTTATTTTCATCGATTATATTCTCTTTCAAAGACAGTCAGCTATACACGTATCCCGGTCGGCCTTTCCTCTGTCGTTCGTGAAAAAAAATATTGCAACAGAACAACAATAAGCTGGATATTTCAAAATATAAGATTTGTATAGATGGAAAGTTTGCCTTATGACAAACTTAGAAAGTGCTGCTAGAATCCCGAGTTAAGCATAGTTTTACGAAAAATCTTAGTTAATATGCATAAAATTCAAAAGATTGGGTAAGGTTCCGTGCGAATGTGTGGAATAATTATTTTACTGACAGGACTGTGGGATTCTAGCAGCACTTTTTAGGAAAAATAGATGTTTTTCAACTATATTATTTACTCAAAGAAATTATTAAACTCCGGGGTATTGTTGTTCCGTTAGCTTTTTTATTAGGGAAATTTTCACTATTAATAGAAGTCACGTGATCCCGTGGTGGTGCTGCACGTCGCTGTGTCAGACACTCTTTTATCTGTACGCAAAAGTTAATAACAGTTTACATTTATCAAAGGTTTTGGTAAATTATCAAACTTAATTTTCTTTAAAAAGTCTAAATTTTCCAAGAAATGACTTATATGCTTCCTTAGGATACCCGCGATGGTACATGGCGGATTGGAGATCGAAGTGTCCTTTATAGTATATGGTGTTCACTGTTGGAACACATAGAAGATACACACGATCTTTTTGTATGTTTATATGTATAATTTAAATCAGTAAAGAAGATAAAAAAAACTTAATCTACTACTTTTATGAATATTTCAGAAGACAAACGTTAATAATTCAAGTTACTCAGCATATTTAGTCGAAGCCAAGTGTTGTCAAGGCCCTCTCCTCTGTTCATGGTATGTTTTTTTTTTTTGGATGTTATTTTTCTGTGGTAGATGTAAATACATATAAGATTGAGCGTCAATAGTCAAAGTAATATTGTCAATGTCAAAATTTCTTCCAACCTAGTTGATCACGTATTTTTTTTATTAAATGCAAAAATATATTCGGTATATGCTTTCTTACAATACGCTTTAGGAGTTCTTATTGCCCATTGATACCTACATATATGAGGTTTCAGTACCAAGTGATCTCTTTCTAATTAGTTGAGATTTTTCATCCTAATTTACGGGCATTTCATGGCCTTAACAGGGCAGTTTAAAACAACTATATTGTATTTTATAATTAAGCGATAATTGTGTGATTCAAGAATATAATAATGTTTAATTTATAAGAAATTTAGATGCGTGATAAAAACCCTTGAAATACGCCGGAAACAATAGTGAATGATACGACTTTACGATAGAAAAATAGAATAATTTAATTCGTACTTAAATAGTACATCAACAACGAAATTGGGACCCCATCATAAGAAATTCGCCATGCAGTATGCACCTTGCTACATGTGGGAAAGGCAGTTTCAAAATACTTCCTGTTTATAAATTGCAAAATGACATGTAAGCCCCTTGATAAATGTAGTAAAACTGCGAAACCTAACCCCGTGTTGCTAATTCAAATGTATTTTATATATATTTAAGTGTAAAAAGTGTATAACTCGTTTCAAAGAGCATCATTAAAAAAAAGATAATTTTGTCATTCATTTTAAAAGAGAGTGTACATTAAGGGTGATTCAGTTTTACTGAAGCTTAGTTAATTCGGAAGCCTCTTTCCCATCGAATATCGTCTGGATACATTGTATAACTACTAAAAATAACTTTCAGTATAGAATTTGATATATTTTAAATTTGTTCACACCTAAATTATTTCCGGGGCTGTAGACATCCGGATTGGTGGCGTCTTGATAAACAAGTTTTTTTCTGTATTTCAAGTTTGGTACATATTTCCCCCAATTATTAAATACCGGATAATTAATTGAAAAACTGCAAACGCATTTTCACCTTTCTTAAGATTACTGATCGTAGAAAGAAAATACATGCATGTTTTGGCTGAGATAAAATAGCACATCTTTTTCTCATTAAAGATTTTTTTTTTATTTAAGTAGTGTACATGTAGTGTTAAAAAAAATAATACAAGATGTGTTTGTGAAACACTATGCGGCCGGGTGCAACAAAGTTAAAAAACAACAATATATTTTTAGCATAAGGTCATAGTCAAGGTCATAATATTTATAAGAACCTCTAAGAGGTTTTCATTGAAATTTTAGTTTATTATATTCTTTTGGAAATATATTATTTTACTATATGTGAACTGGTCTGTTAGGGAATTCTTCCTACTCTGGGTCAACAACAATTGCTCAAACATATGTTCTTGTTGTTTTGTTTTTTTTGTTTGGTTTGATTTTTTTTTCCTTTTTGTTGATTATATTTTATTTATTAAAATAGGTGTTACGAAAGTTCGATCCATGATGATAAATTTTCAAAAAAAAATTTAGTAGTGTTTAACTAGAGAGATGAATTTTCAGGTCTGACAAAATCACACGAGTGTGCTTTAGATTTATAGCAATTCATTTTTAGCAGGACATCATACGATTTTTCTTCCATAGGAAAATATATGTGACATCTGTAATGCACTCAAATGGTTGAAATGCTGGTCATTTTGAGTGAAAATAAAGGATAATTTTATTTTGTTTCCTCATAGACCATCTTGCATCAGACAAGCTGATGAGCGTAGGTATAAGAAGAATAGATTACTTTAAAAAAAATAGGTTTGTCATGTTGAGATTTTTCACCGACTTGATAATTTTCGCATGGTGTTTGAAGGGGTGTTTTGACCTGCGTGCTTAATATATGTCACCAATGTTTACATGTACTTGTAATTGTACCTTGACCTATTGAGAGAACGATCAT